TCCCTTTCTAAGCTGCAGGGGTATAATCCTAGAAACATGGGATGGTTTGGGTTGGACGGGACCTTTAAAGATCATCTAGTTTCAAGATCTAGTTCTCAAACAGGGCCACCTTCCACTAGATCAGCTTGCTCAAAGCCCCATTTGGCCTGGCCCTGAACCCTTCCAGGGATGGGGAATCCACAGGTCCTCTGGGCAGCCTGTGCCAGTGCCTCATCACCCTCACAGTAAAGAATTTCTTCCTAGTATTTAATCTATACCTCCATTTCTTCAGTTTAAAGCCATTCCTCCTTATTCTATCACTAGATGCCCTTGTAAAAAGTCCCTCTCCAGCCTTCTTGTAAGGCTCCTTTTGGTAGAGGAAAGCTGACACAAGGTCTTCTCAGAGAGTTCTCTTCTCCACACTGAACAGCCCCAACTGTCTCAGCCTGTCTCTAAAGGAGAGGTGCTCCAGTCACCTACCTCCATCCCCCTTGCCTTCATCTTTGTCTCCCTCCCTTTGGACTTGCCACCATGGGAAAAGCAACCTACCCTGGGCCTTCAGTGCCAAAAATGCTGCAAGGGGCAGGGCTGCTGCTGCCCTGGAGCAGGAAGTCCTCTCACCAGCTAAGAGCTGACACCAGAGTCATCAGATGCAGCAGCATTCCTGGGAGACCAGGTGCTCAGTGGTCCCCGTAAGGGCATGCCTGCCCAGGCCAGATCATGCTGCCAAAGATGCTGCAAGGGGCAGGGCTGCTGCTGCACGTGAAGTCCCTTCCAGAAGTTCATTGCCTAGTCAATTGCCTTCCTGTCCTGCTGCAGACCATATGCCACCATGGATCTCTCTTTTTCTCCACCCGTTCCTACTTCCTGGCCCCTGTGTCCTCCCTTTGCTATGCCTCAGGAAACATCATCTGCCTGATCTTGCCTGACCAAGCAGTGCCAGCTCCCCACAGGGAGTGCAACTGGATGGGTAACTCCTGGCTGTGTGCCTCTGTCCTACCTAGGAAATGAACCCTCACTGTGTGTCCCACAGAGAAGGGAGAATGCCTACTGGAAACAAGGTGGCCTGGAGCTTTGGCTTCCTGAGCCAACCAACGGGAGTAGTTCTATGAACAGCAGCGTGTGGTGGTAGGAGCTGCTGAATCCCATAGCCCAGCAGAGGCAAGGCTGCTGCAGCTCCACATGCACAGCTCCAGACTGTGGTGAGTCTGAGCATGAACGTACGATACGCACATGTATAGAGACATATGGAAGAAAAAGGATCTCAACATAGAAGAAACCACAGAGGTCAACACAGGCAGAAAGCACTGACACCACCTCTAACAGCAGCCTGATGCTGTTCCCCTCCCTGGCTGCTAAGCAGAAAAATATATGTTGACACCTACACAATATGGACCTCTCCAGCAATAAGGCTTAGTCATTCAGTCTATCCATAGCTGGCCCCAGCAACCTCTGGTCTTCCCTAGACTTGGTTTCATGACAGACACATACAGAAAAAGGTCTCCCTGGTACCTGCTCAAGTCTTATGGTGTCCCTAGAAGGTGCCTCCCAGACCCCCTTGTATGCCTGGAAGCGTGAATCAGACATGAAGAAGTGTCACAGATAGCTGTGGGAACACAGTGGTCAGCTGAGACTTGTGGTGGTATCTGGGAACTGGAGTGGTGCAGTGCTGCAAATAGCCTTCTCTTCCTTCCCCTTCTGGGTGTTCTGCAGTGTCACAGTGCTGATGTGTATCTCGCATAGGGCCAAATCCTTGTCTGCTGCCACGTGAGTTAATGTGCCCTGACACCCTGTGGTGGGACCATGACCACTGTGCTCTTCTTCAGAGTCTCTTTGTGGCTGAGATGCTTCTCCCTTCTTCCATCTGCTTTTTCCCAGTGCTAAGCCTTATCTTTGCCCACAGGTCCTACTTAACATATTTCTTGCCACTGTTTCTTTTATTTTGCCTCAGACATCTCCCATTCACCTCTGGCTCTGGCTAAGCACCACAGTACAATTGAGCTCTTTGCCCCTATGTCATACATCTAGCCCCAGAGTTAATGTGCCTCCCCTGGAGACCTGCTGCTGGACAGGGAGTTTCCTCTTCTATTTCAGGAGTTTAATGAGGGCCAAACTCATCCCTGCAAATCACCATTTTAGTCACTTCTCCCAGAGTTTATTTCCATGTTGGCATTTCTTCCCCAGGGCATGTGTCTGCCATGCAAGGATTTTATCCTCTCGGATTTTAGTTCATTTCTCTAGTTTACAAACCACTACGTTCAGTCTTTTGCCATGCAAGACTCCCCTTTGTCACTCACTTTGTGTTAATTCTTAGCACACAAGCATGTGAAGGAGCCAATTTCCTTTCTTCCCCCCTCAAGAAAAGAGCCAGACCAAGAGAGGGTGGGTTAAGCTTGCAGTGGTGCCCTGCCCTGGAAGGAGAGCTGAGCATCCCTTCTGCTGGATGTCCACACCTGGGGTGAGCCTACAGTGAACAGCACTTGGCCTTCTCCTCTCAGAGGCAGGAAGAAGGCAGGTTTGCACATAGAACTGATGCCAGTGGGAGTAGTAGAGTAGGAGAACAGGTTTGATTTATCCAGGGGGTTCTGGATGAATCAGCATCTGGAAGAGCCCATCCCCATGTTCCTCTGAGCCCTGGACCCCTAGGTCCTGGACCTCATCTTTCCCTGCAAGGCTTGACAAGGCCATGGGACCAGGTATTGGCTGAACAGATGTCCTGGAATGAAAGCAACGACACCAGCACAGGGTCGGCCTCCCACATAGTGGTGATCGATACAGAAGCAAATCAGGTAAGCAGGAGTCTTCCCATGGGAGTCTTCTATCAAATCCTCGAGTCAGCCAGTGTCTGCTCTGCTCAACCCTCAGGTTGTGATCCTGGGTTTTGCCCTACTCCCTCCTCCCAAGATCCTGAATTCCAACAGTTCATAGTCACCGCAGACAAACTTACCCCTTGCCTTTACAAACAGAGTATGAGACCCAGCAGGGCAAATCTCCAGACTGGGTCCTCCGTAACCTGGATCAGGAAGTTACGATAAGGACACTCCAGAAACCTCCTGGATTGCTCCTGCTTTACTGCTGAAAACCAAGCTAAGAATCATAGAATCATAGAATCAGCCAGGGTGGAAAAGACCTCAATGATCATCAAGTCCAACCCTACCGCGGTTACTAGACCATGGCACTAAACCTCCAGGGACAGTGAATCCACCACGTCCCCGGGCAGCCCATTCCAATGCCTAATTACTCTCTCCATAAAAAATTTCTTCCTAATATCCGACCTAAACCTCTCCTGGCAGAGCTTGAGTCTGTGCCCTCTTGTCCTACTGCTGGTTGCCTGGGAGAAGAGACCAACTCCCACCTGACTACAACTTCCTTTCAGGTAGTTGTAGAGTGTGATAAGGTCACCCCTGAGCCTCCTCTTCTCCAGGCTAAACGGCTCCAGCTCCCTCAGCCTCTCCTCATAGCACTTGTGCTAGAGTCCTTTCACCAGAATCATTGCTCTTCTCTGGACCTGCTCCAACATGTCTTCTCTCTTCTCCCGCTCCCGCTCCATCCCTCCTTAACCGAGGGACCCAGAACTGAACACAGTGTGGCCTCACCAGCGTCGAGTGCAAGAGAAGAGTCACTTCCCTGGTCCTGTTGACCATAATGTTCCTGATCCAGGCCAGGATGCCATTGGCTTTCTTGGCCACCTGAGCACACTGCTGGCTCATGTTCAGCTTCCTGTCTATCCAAACTCCCAGGTCCCTTTCTGCCTGGCTGCTCTCCAGTCACT